CGTGGGGGAGGCCTGGGCTGCGCCCAGGGCCTGCGTGTGTGCTGCGAGGCAGGAGCCGGCCGGAGGAGACGGGGAAGGCGCTGCGCCTGGTGCTTTCTGCAGCTTCTGGTGCCTGTAGCGTGAGGCGCAGCTTCACCCTGCTCTCCGGAGGCTCGTGCTGTTGGCACGGTCTGTTCCGGACGCAGCAAGAGCGTCCGCCTGCGTTCGCAGCTCTGGGGTTTCGGGAGAGGACGGTGAACCCCAGCACCCCGGGTGCAGCCGCGTGTCGGGGAGCTGGCGAGAGCCGGGGCTGCGGGCAGCGCGGGGTGACATTATACATCCTGGAGCTGATTCAGAGCCTTCGCTGAGACCGTTTTTAAAAAGTGCTGAGTGTAGCACAGCCCTTCTTGCCACTTCCCCTCCTCGTGTCGCTCCTGCGCCAGCTCTTTTGCTGCTTGAACTTTTTTTTGCCAAAGTCACGTCCTGTTGATGGGCTGTCGAGCTCACATCCCCAGCCCGTGCATCCCCCTGGCATTGCTGCCGACTCTCCTGGCCCAGTGAGGACTGTAGATGGGAAATTAAAGTGGAAATGAGTGCCGTTTGGGGATGGCAGACGCGAGCAGGCGTGTTAGCGGGATCGGCTCTGCTTGGAACGTGCACCTGCATGGGGCGGTGATTGCACGTTCTGGAGCGCCGGCTGCCCAGGTGCCGCTGGGAGCTGTGGGCTTGGATTACTTTGCCTGTGAATATCCCAAAGTGTTTGGCTCGCTCGCCTTTGAGCCGTTCCAACCCTCTTTACAGCCCGGTGCCAATCCTGCGCGTTGCCGAGCGGGGCTCTCTACAGACGCGAAAGTTAATGGAGAGACTTTAATCAAGCAGACTGGCCCGGGGCCAGGTAATGGGGTGAGCAGGTGCTGAGCAGGGGAGTGCCGGTGGAGGGGTCTCTTCCGAGCGCCGCTTTGTTTCGGAGATCGCATCTGGTTGTGAGAAAGTGCTGCTTGATGCTGGAGGTGCGCTGGAGGAGTCTTAAAGCCGGCTGCCAAAGCTTGCGTGGAGGAGGGATGAAGCGTGGGAGCACGTAGCGTTATTCCAGCCCAGGGGCCAGGATGGGGCAGGGAGATTTGCTGGTGTAAAGCCCGACTGCTGATGTTTTCCCCTCCGTTACAACCTGGGAAACTGAGATTGCAACACCAGGCTTCTACAGAGAAGCCAAATCCCCCTTTGCCAGGAAGCAGCGGCTTCGTGCTTCGAGCTGGCTCTGTCTGGCATTTCCAGGGACCGGCGTGGCGGGGGGGTTCCAAGTCGCAGCGACTGCAAAGCTCCGGAGGTAACCTCAGA